GAGGATATTACTACTACCTTTCAGTTCTGTTTTAGGTTTAAATGGAAAAACACGCATGTTGTTGACAATAGTGTCTGACACCCAGCAAGCGCCCAGTAAACTTTAACTGGAAGAGAAAAAGGCTCCTCCATCCTAGGAGCAGTTGTTTACTTCTCCTTATTGTGATGATTATTTTCTATTCCAGTAGATAATTGCTTTGCTGTTGGCAGGGAAGGAACCCTAGGAAAAAGAGGGGAAAGGAGAAGGCAGGGTGCCAGATTCCAGGCCCGAGCCTAGTGGGAACGTATGTCCCAGGTATCAGGAATTAGGATTTTCGTCTTTTCCGCATCTAGGGAACCACAAACCACAGGCTCTTTAATTCGGTTGTCTCTCTCCTGCTTTTCTCTTCTTCCTTGTCCTTTACCAGTTAAATTGGTACACTTAGTGAGTGAGGTTACAGGGTGAATTGTCCCTCTGTGATTTTGGCCTACGTATCTCTGTCTCGATATTTTTTACTCTCAGCTTTAGGGTAAGATGAACCCCCCATTCCCTATGAGAGAGTGGCCCAGACAGGAAGCAATTGTTGTCTGAGCTCTGTCTGTTTCAGCGTTTTCTTCTAGCATCCAGCGCCATGTCTAACACTTAACAGGTTTTCAGTACCTGGTTATGATTTGAAGAATTAATTAATGGGGTCTCTGTTCTCTGTGAGTTGTTCTTTCCTTTTGAGGGTATGAGGAGAGTGTGATTCTTAAGTGGAGAAACTTCTGCCAAGTTCCACTAGAGATGGTGTGTGAGGACAGAGGTATCTAAAATCCCCTTTTCTCAGTTCAGCAGAGATAAGAATAGAGGTTTTCGAAAGCACTCTCGCCTTGTAACCCAATGCACGCAGCACAAACACAGAGTATAGCAACAGACGGTGGATTTGCAGCGTGACTCAGCCGTGGTCTGCCCACAGGTTGGTTTAGGCAGCACTGCTTGGCCAACCTGTGGGTAGATCCCGGGCCCCCTTTCCTCACCGTTGTGTTAAATAAAAACAAAGGTTCTCAGGGTACCAGCCTGAGGGGCTGGACAGGCAGGTTCCTGGGACTCTGGCATTCTCCGTCTCCCTGCACAGCCTGCTTCCTGACGCATGTCCTTGATAGGGAGACTCACGCCTGTGATTCTTTCTTGGCTTCGGGCTGTCCTGCAGTCACCTTGGTTGTGGTGATTGTACTTTAGAATCTTTTAAAAATTTGCTTTTGAGG